ATTATTTTTTTTTTAAGAAAACTAGGCAGTCTGTATTGTTTGCAACCTGAACAAAAGAAAGCTTGACCCAGAGTGGGCAATTGGATAGAACATAACCCAGTGCACCTTAATGAAGCAAATGGATGCGTTTTATTTAAAATACAAATTATTCTTTTGACAGGTAATTTTCCTTGGATCTCTTAGATCACTAAATTTAACTAGAACATTTTGTAGCTGCATTTGGCTAGGAAGATGATGTGCAGCTGGAAAGAACTGTTATGAGGAGTAAATGTAGATGTGAAGCTGGTAGAAGTGGGGCTGATGTAGTTTTATGGAAAGAGTGAAGACCATGTGAGGAATAGAATAAGTCCATAGCCGTAAGCTAGAAGAGAAAGTCCTGTCACAGCTTGAGAAAGTCTTCTGAATATCCTGTGCCTTCACTGCTTATGCCGTTGCTCCCAAAGGCTGAGTTTCTTTTTGTGCTTTCTTCTCCAACTTACGCTGCACCAACACTGAAGAGGGGTTTAGAGACAGGGTGCAACTGCTAACTTCAGGATTGGTGGATAGTGAGAAACAGAGTTGCTTAATAGAGTCTGATTTACCTCCTTCCGCATCTCTCCATCGTTGGTTCTGAAGCTGTTTTTTCTGAAGTTGCAAAAGATACCTGTGTTTGTTGCATCGGCCTTGTTTGTCTACAAACAATATGCCAAGTTCTCCTCGGCTAAAACAAGATGAAAGTAAGAAGAAAAGAGTTGCTGTGATCTGTAACTATTCCTGTGCCAGGATTTTTTTCTCTTATATTCTTTACTTATTTCTCAGAACCAAATTACTGACACGCAGCCATGCTCAGATCCTGTTCCTTTTTCACTTCTTTGCAGATGGAATGAGTAACAATGTACATGTCCTTCACTGAATGATGAATACATAAATTAATGGGTGCTTAAATATTTTTGCAACAGGGCACCAGATGAGCATAGAACCAGTGAGATTATTTTCTTTGTCTCTTTTATTCTTAAGCTTTCATTTTTATCCTTGTTTTCCCACTCATGCACCGATACTGATATGTCTTTCGCTGCCTAAATCCGATGTGGTGATCAGTGGAAATAAGGCCCTGTCCTGTAGAAGTATGAAATTCTTTAAGCTGAGGTTAAACTCTAGAAACAACTAACAGAAATTGTTGGTCCAAAATTGTATGCTGATTCTGTAGTCAGTGCAGTGATTTCCCAATCCATACCCTGCACATACAAGATAAAGAATCATGAGCTGATTTTATAATCATGCTGAAGCTGACCAGATTTAAGCTGTAGGCAGAGTAGAAGTAACTGTCACAGATGTAAGTGCACCACAGCTTTTTGCACTCTTTTGTAGCAGAACAGAATGGGGGAGCATATCACATAAATTCTTCTCATATTCTTTGATAAAAATTTTCTGAAACTTAGCTCAACCCAGCATCATTGTACATGAAAGAACTGGATTTGCTTTAAGTTCCCCATGTTCCCCACATAGGAAGAGAACATTCATACTGTCCACTCTTATGGCTTTGATGGAAAGGCAATAAATCTTCAGCAGAGGAACAATAGCAAACTAAAGAAAAGGTATTATTGATTCATGTGTTTGCCTATGGGCTTAGTTGCTGCTAAAGTGCTTCTGGTTCATCTACACACAAATGCTCAGAGTTGCTGTGTGTGCTTTGAAAGCAACGTTTCTAAGCTCCCTGCTCATGGCAGACCTATGCTTAAGAGCCTTGAGCAGAAGAGCATCAAGTCAGTGAGATACTGACTATGAATGATGCTTTTGAGCTGTTTTTAGTCAAACACAGTCTCAAGTCCGAAGCCAGGAATGCTTTTCAGGTAACAGAGATCTCTCTGAGAAGTAAAGGTCATCTGTACTGAAGTAGAGATCTATTGTCTAGTAAAAAAAAAACAAAACAAAAAACAAAACAAAACAGAAACAAAACATTCTGCCAATGCAGAATGACAATTTTACCTCTCTCTTGAACTCTTATCATTAGGCAGGGTAAGAATGATTTCAGCTATGGAGCACATCCTTTCACAGTTCTCAACTAACAGTCTGTAAAAATACATGCCAGTGTGGTTTTTATCTCCTTCTCCTTTACTTTAACAATAACACAATGTATGACTCCCTGAGTTGGCAGACTGCTGTTTCTATTGCTGACATCTCTCTTACTTTTTACTCCTGCAGACTGAAGCATAGTTAATTAAACTTTGCAGCTTCAGTATGAAGTTTAGAAAAAAAATAAAGATAGTGTTCATGGGGAGAAAAAAGAATTCTCTTAAAGTCAGCTTCATTAACTACTGGGCTATTAGTGTGAGGGTCACTTTGCCCCAACTGAAATAACTGAATCTCCCTAATTGCATTTTTTTTTTTAATTATTTCTTATTTCAAACATGTTATGCTTATTAGTGATTTAATATATCTGGAAGCACAAATTAATTATACCTGGCAGCTAATTGTAGGAAAGTTATGGTGATCAATGTTTATGCTGTTTTTTTAATGTCTACCTTTAGTTTACATACTTGGATCAGTTCCCTCCCAATCATGAATAAATATTTACTGCTTATATGTTCCCATGCAAATTGGATTAATTTTAGCATATTCATGGCAGAAGAAGATCACTGCCTATCCTCAATATTAAGTCAGCTGAACAAGCAAAGTTTTTTTTCCCCTGCTTAAGTAGTGAATGAACTAGATAGAAAATTTAGCCCAGGTCTGCTGATCCCAAATGGTTTGGGGGCATCCAGTGTGTTTGGATGGATGGAGGTAAAGGCAATCAAAGAACTGACCAGGAAAGTGACTCTTCCCGCGGCCCTAACATTGAAGAAATTCGGTTAAGTACTGCTCAGCAAAATGCGATGGTAATTGGATAAACAGGGTGGCAAATGTTTGATTTTGGATATGGACAGAACTTAGCACATGCCTGTATGTTTTTCTCTAAATAGCAACTCATGCAGTCTTCATATCCTCTCTATCCCCCCTGAACTGCATTGCATCCTGTGGTGTTAAAGTACCATAGCTTTCACACTCTCTCTCCACTCAGTTAGCTATCATTTCAGATGTGATGTAAAGAAATGGTCCTTTGCACCTGTAAGGACAGGGAAAGTAACTTTTCTGTATGCCCCTAGCATTGTGCGTCATGTTCAACCTCCTACATGGTGACTTTGGGAATACGAACAACAAATCCTGTGTGATATTGACTCTCTTCTCATAGCCAAGAGGTAGCTCGTTTACAGTGCTACATCCTGATATAATCTGAAAGTGAAATTGTAGCCTTTTCAGGAGATGGCTTCTCTTTTTCCCGTTCTCCTAACAATAGGGGTGGGTTGTCCCGTACTGAAAGCTATATAGTTGAGAAATCCTCATCTGTGCATTTGTCATCGGAGCTGAACTGTGGAATAAGCCTTGAAGTGAAAAGCCTTTCTAGTCAGAGATGTGACCCTTTCAGCTTTTTTGGCAGATTAATCAGTTGTAGGAATGCTGTTTCTTTTGAGACAGCAAGTTGCTGAGGGCTTGTGCATTGTTCTTGTTCTGTAATACAGTATCAGGAACAAGCTGGATACAAAGGCCCAGGATTCAGGCAGTGCTACAGCATGAGAGACATTAACCAGCACTGTAAGCTTTGCACTGCAGAAACTCTTCAGTTTTTGACACAGCAGGCTGTTCTGATTCGAAAAGCAACCATCTTGTAACAGCTTTTGGGTATTGAGAGCATTGGGCATTTGACAACAAAGACAGTGTGCAGGTGAGATTTATGGATCTAATTCTAGGCATCGATTTGAAAACCTTAGCCAGGATGCTGAAATCACCTGAGAAAACACCAGGATTTTGTATAATCAGTTTGACTTACCTTTTCAATAGCTATGACAGTTGGATGCAAACTGTATTTGGTGGCTTCTTGATGTCTTAGAAGATACAAGATCTCTAGGCCAGAGAGAAAAAGGAAGGAAAAAGCTACAGGGTTTTATTTTGAGTTCCTTTGACTTGATCTTTGACTCCACCAAATTAATAGCAACAAACAGTAGAAGTTCAGCCCTTCTCCTCCATATGGGGGGGCATGCTGCTGGAGTCTTAGAGGAAAGGAAGATACAGTCTGAATGATGTTGTGCAATGAAACAGTCACCATATCCTCCCTTCCAGTCTCAAGCCCCAGAACAGTAAATCTGGCACCCCTGTGCGCACACATGACTGTCCTGTGTGCATCTTCATGATGTGCAGCTACTCCATTATATCTCAGACACACTCCAGGAGGCTTGGGCGCCTCCTATGATGTCTATGCCTCTGAACTCCTGGAATGCATCAGACACTTGTGTGATACAGAGTCAATTTTTGCATGGTTGGTGGCCATTTGTCTGGGATTTCCAGATGTTCCAGCTGCTAATTGTCTGGAAATCTGGTGGAATGCTACCCAAAGCAGTTGAGTTGGCAGGCTTGGTCTCTTTTACATGTCTAATTAATGTACTGTGCATGTAAAATGTCTTCCTGTGCAAAGAGAGCCAAGAGGGAAAAGTATGAATTACTAACAAAGGCAGCCTGAACCTCAGTTCTTTGTGAGCCTTGAAGGCCTTTGTTTTTGTATTTCTTACATCAGTGCTCTTATTATAAATACTCAACAAATGTGTGTACTTGTATTCACATGATATATTTCATGTTCTTCATTCTTACCGTGTAAATTTCAAATTTAGCTGCCGTTTTGATACTGTACTATTCCTTGTCACGTCAGAGATGTTTAAGTTTTGTCTTGTGAGGCCTTGTGGCCACTCATTATCTCAGACTGAGGAAATCTGTCACAGCCACATGCCAGTGAAGAGTCTGTGCTTTTTTTTTTTTAAAGCTGCTTTCTCTAGGAAAAGATTTTAGATCAGAGGCTAAGGATATGGCATTATATCTATGTGCTATTTACAAGGGATGATTTGAAGATGCTGCTTAGTAGTTTTCTGCAGTTATTTGTCTGCCTGTTTTTGCAACTTTGCATTCATGTCTGTTTCGCTTCTGCTCTATGCTAGGTGACGCACTGTGGACATGAGAAAATACAGAAGACCCTCGTTAATTACCTGTGCAGATGACACTGGACTAGAAGAACTAAGGATTATGAAGATAAGGTAGGAGAGTTCATCTTTTCAATTAATATGCAATCAGTAGAGGAAAGAGCATGAGAGGATGAATACTATGGCTATGATGACAGAATAGGAGGCTGTGCCTTAGAAACTGTAAGTACATAACTTGTTTTTTGCTGCCTATGCAGAAAATTTTCCACTATCTGAGTCTAACATCGTCCATTTGATTTAATGACATCCTTTTAAGATGATAACCATTGTTAGATTTATGAACAAGGAAACTTAAAGTACAGAGAATGTTGTAGCAAATACAATTGGGAATTCTCTGCAGCGAGGACTGGAATGATTATTTCTGGTGTCTTTTGTTTGTAGACCATTACAAGATTCTGACATTTAGAAAAGAGAAAAAGGGTGAATCAACTCTATGCATCAAAGCGCTCAAAGTGGCACTGTGAGGTGCTGATTAGTCTACCATCACGGTTCTACTTTTTTCATTGTTTGTAGTAGCAGTGCATTCAATTAGGGCATTTGAGTTTAAAATAAGTAAGTGGAGTGAAATTGTTCTTAATGGCAGCCTTACCACAATTTTCTGGATGTTTTCCAATTTTATTATGTTACCACATGCTCAGCATGCTTTTTTTTTCTTGTTTAGAGTCTAGAATGCAAACTTTTTTAAAAAAAAAGTGAATAAAAAGTCTGGAATTTCAGAGAATTTACAGCTGCAACAGTGCAGAACAGAAACACTGTAGTGAGACATGATGACTACATGGTCAATACAGAGAAAGCTCAGTGTGGAAATTTTCTTTTAAACGTATTTCTGAAATATTCCAAATGCAGGAATGTTGGATCTTTGAAAGTAAAAAATGCAGGGCAAATGACACCATGATCATTATTTTTCCTGAAAATTTAAGTTCAAAGGAATTGCAATTAACAAGAGAAAACAGAAGACTATATTTCCCACAGCACACGTTGATGCACAGTGAACATTTAGTGGCTCCCGTGGAAGTCAGCAGAGCCTTATCATTGGCTGAAAATGAAAGCAGTGGGCTATATGAAAATGCAACTGGAAATCTTACTCTTTATTATTCTAGAAGTGCTTCTTTGTATTCCAGATGAGCTGTATTCATGGGATGTGTTTAGTAAGGGCACATTTATAATTTTGTTGTGAGAAGTCAAGAAAGGGTAATGTAGATACAAAAGAAGTAAAAAATGTAAAGTGGGATCTTTCTGAAGCTCAGTTAAAATGATTTATTTGATAGGGATGCCAAAATAAATAGAAAATTTAGAAGCATCTGGTACAAGGTAAAATTTCATTTTTATGAAGATTCTTACAAAAAGAGAGAGATTTTTGAAGAATTAGCACCTGTAAATTGAGCTGAAATGGGCATTTTCTACCCCAGATCCTTCCTAAGTACTCAGTCATGAACTTCCTAAGGCTTCATCAGTGGTCTGCATGTGTGAACAAAAATTGTATACTGTCTTTTTAGATGACTATAAAAATGTGTTGAAAAGGGGCTGTGGAGATTGGAGAGAATCATATTTTCTGTTGCATTTACTATTTTATGATCTATTGCACTTTCAGAGTTTGTAAGCAAACAAATGATTTTCTAGTTTGCTGGCATTGAAATTTCTGGATCAGAAAGCGAAACATTCTTTTCTCTCTTTCCCTTTCTCTTCTGGTGATTTTTTTTTGTTTGTCTAAATGAAGGAGGGAGATGTAAAAATGTTTGATTTTTGTGAATTTGAATTGAAAGTTCTTCTTGGTAAAACCAACTACTATGGAGAAATGTCAGCCACGTTTCTCTTTCACAGTTGAGAGGTTAGGCTGAGTTTTGATCCCGTGACCCCTGATGTAGATCACTGAGAGTTTGCTGGTGTTGGTGGCTGGTATTAGATGCTGGCATCCCCTGCTGGTGCAGCCAGCAGTTATCAGTGTTTGCCTGGTGAGCTCTTGCTATTGACAGCCCACTTTCAGCTATCCCTGCTCTAGTCCCTGGGCCGGAGGAATATGGGATGAGCTCCCCCAGTGGGAAGTTTGTTGTCACTCTGAGAGGTCACTTCTGCAACTGTGAGGGTTAGCAACTTGTTGTTCTGGAGCAGGGAAGAGAGGGTCTCACGGAGGGACTTTAATATGTGGGAGCTGAAGGAAGACATCACGTATCACAGTGTTCATAACAAAATCTAGCAGGTGTGTTTGTAGCAATAGTTGGCTGAAGCTGAGAAGAAAGTCTCAACTTTGTCTTAAAAAAAGGAAAGAAGCTCAGGCTGAGGTAAAAATGGTATCTTTTTGCACTTGCTATCTTTTCCCTTTGTATATAAATTATGGCTTTCTTCATAGGAATTCTTGTCTCCCTCTGTTCTGGCACGTTGTTAAGTGGGATTTGCTCCCCGGTCATGATGTGTGTGCTCCTGCAGCTGACTGCATTAGCTGTTATTGAGGAGGAGGGGATTGTTTAATTCCACCAGCAAGGGAGCTGTAGCTTGCGTCTGTCTTAGCTTTGGTATTTTTCTTAAAATGAATGTGTGCTTTCCAATTGATATACCTGCCCATTAGATAGGATCTGCCAGGCCTGGACTTGATCCATTGTTCTACCAACAATATAGTCAGTTCTGTAGCTAATGCACACGTAAGATGAAAGCTGAAAACAAACACCTCTGCCAGATGCAGTATGTTTCAGTGCTCTGCCTGCTAGCAGAGGATCATAGTCAGTGTATTCTAGTCAGAATTTGCAGAAGTTACCACAATATTTCTCAGTGCCAAGGGTCAGGTCTTTAGTCTCCCATGATAATAAAACTACATCTGCCCCAGTGAGAACAAAGGGACATAATTTTGGCCCAGTAAAAATGTGCTTTTGAATGGCTAGAGTTCAATTCACTGGCATCTGAATGCACAATAGAGATGAAATTAAAATTTTAATATATGCTGTTAAAACAACATGAATGAAGAAGAAAACAAAAGCAGGCAAAAATAAAGTAACTATCAAATGGGAAGTACTTAAGGCTAGACTTATGAGATGTTTCAAAGCATGAATTGTAATAGGTGTTTAAAATTTGACTGTTCCTTTATTCTCAGCATGTGGGTTATACTTTGAATATGGAACAAGAATTTAACCTTTTTCAGAAGCTGCATTCTTAACAAATTATTCTTAAAATGAAACTGTTTAATGAAACTGCTTTTTAAGTGCTCTATAAAACCATGCATTATTAACATAAAACCATACATAATACAATATAACACTCTGCAAGGTAACAATAGTCTGCTAACTCATTCATACACAGTTCTTTGCTACTTTAACTTTAGAATATAATGGGTTAGGCATTGTCTTTGCTGGAGATCAGCGACAAGCACAAAGTGCAATTTTACTGGCAGAACCTCAGCTCTGGGAAGTTCATGGTGTTTTGCAGAAAGCAGGTGGGTGAGCAAGGCATACACTGCAGGGCAGATTGCACAGCTGTAAGATGTGGAATTCCCCTCAAAAGGATCGGCATGTCTTTGAAAATAAATTCATCACTAAAATAAAAGAGATTTCTGATGCAGAGAAAGAAAATGGGGTTTGATTAGTTTTAGATTAACCCTTTTTGTGTTTGTCTTGCCTTCATCTTCCTCTCTTTTCCTCTTTCTCATTGCCTTTCTCCCCAGAATTGGTTTTCAAGAGAGTACAGAGGATGTTTTCATCTTTAAAAGGTTTTATGAGTGTTGCAATAAATTCCTCTGTGCAACCTGCTTTACTGTATTTAAAAAAAAAAAAAAAAAAAAAAAAGTGAGCTGGATGCATCAGGACCATCAGGACCATTGGATTCAGAAAACACTGTGCATTCACTGATTATTTTCTCACTAGAATGCTTGCAATTTGTGCAATTGCATTGCGCAATTAGAATGCTTGCAGTGCTGTGACAAATTTTTGCTCTATATTTTTGTGGTGGTTGATATCAACACAATGCACAAATTAGGAAGAATGTCTGCGTGGCATTTGATGCTCCCGTGCTCTTAAGGGTTTGCAGCATTTACGTAGATGTGTCACTGTGTATATGCTTTGTAGGGTACTTTATTGTTTCATTCATTGGTTGCACAAGTGAAGATGCCGAGATTTTAATGCCGTATTTCTTCCCTTATATTCTTGAACTTATCTTTCTCAGCAATTCGTATGCCAGTTAAAACCTGAGCCTGTTCCCTTCACAATAAAAGTGCGTTAGCTTTCTGCTGTCAGAAGCTGCTGTAAATGGGAAGTAGCGAAGTAAAGCCATGTGGGATCCAATAAGCTGCTGAACATTTTCAGGAATTCTTGTTTCATTTCGCAACATCAGAGCTTACTCTCCTCTTGCTGATCAGTGTGAACAGTTTCTGGCAGCAAAAGTCAGCCAAAAAAAATATTTCGCTTTTGCATCTGATAAAAAATTTTGTTATCATATCTAGCTCCAAATAAAACTCTTTAAGCAATTCCTGAAAAACACTAATTAATTTGGGTTTGAATAATGCCCTCAAACTACTAAAGCTGCCAACTGAAAAAGGAACAGATAATTAGGAGATGACAACAGACAGCACAAAGCCAGCAGAGGAAAAATTGGAACACAGCTAGGCTGCAACACTGGCTATCCAATCCATTAACAGCTTCGTGTAATTACGTTTTGCTTTCGCATTAAACTGGTATAAACACAAAAAGACATTACTGAAGTTTTAATCTCCAGGAGAAGAAATCTCCTCCTGCCTAACAGCACGCAGCATGCACACAAATATGACTTCAATTAGCACTAGTGTGAATTTTAATCTAGCACTTGGTAGGAGCATTCAGCAATGTATATTTGAAATAGGAGGCTGATGCTTCACTAAGGACATTCTGTGCTATTATCCCATTGATCCATTGACCCCTTGATTCGTATCTGTGGGATGTTCAGGAGAGTGAGGATTTAGGACTTTAGAGCTCATGAAAAATCACAGAGGATTTTTTTTTTTCTTGGTGTGTTCTGCGCCTGTTTCTATAGCTGGACTTTGATAAGGACACCAAGGTGCCACTATCAGCTGCAGTGCCTGGGGTGTGAGCTG